TACATATATATATATGTATATATATATATATGCATATATACATGTACACATATACATGTATTATATGTATATACGCACATACCGTATATAGGTATATACAATATACCCAGCTTGCTTTGCTACACATGTTCTTCTTATGCCAATTTGGGTTTGAGCATATTTCAACCTTGAAGTTAATCTTAAGTGTGTACACATATACATGTGATGTGAAAGGGAAATGGGTATGCGTCAAAACAAGGGGACCCCAAAATGAATATCCTTTTGGTTTCCCGATTGAACAAACACCATAGACGCGCACCTACATATAGGGAATCCTGGCTGCACCCTGCAGCAGCTTAACCAATAAATCTATCGGATGGCAACCACAACGGGTTGTGTGTCTCCTGGAGCATGTTGGTGGACATCAATGATTGTCAATGTCATCATTAAAACCTGGCATGAGAAGAGATGTCTAATCCAAACCCACGCAGAACAATCGCACCTGTTTATGGTTGGGACAGCTCCCTACTCACTATCAATTTGGGTTTTGGTCTTGGCTCTTTGACGAGTTGACTCCCGAACTAAGTTTCAGGTTCAGCCCGCCCTCCAGCATATTTCCCCTGCGCCCAGGGGAAAATGGGTGCTTTTCTTTGGGGTACTGCTTTTGGTTTGGCTTCAAAAGGAAAATACCATTTTGGGGATTTCCCTGCAAAGACACCCAAATTTGTGGGATGCTGGGGTGCGTTCTTGGCCTGCTCCTTACCTACAGGTTGCGGATCGTTCCTTACAAGGAAACAACCCGTGCTTCTCTTAAAACAAAAAGCACAGGAACAAAACCGGTGCCATTTTCGTGTCTTCTTGCTTGATAACATAGTCTATGATATAATGCCATTTGTTATTTTATCTCTTCCAAAGTGCTTCCCCCCAGAGACCCATCCCTAAGAGTTACGCCTTTGGCCTGCCTTTGGCTTTGACCCGCAGCCCACCAGCCCAACAGCCCTTGCCAATTCACCGCTTGCCGCTTGGCAAGGCCCAACACGGCCCACTCGCTCCCGACTGCGTGCGCCTTCATTGCCCGTGTAGAAGAAGAGAGGTCCTTTCGACTTGAAGCTGGCGTTGTGGATGAAGTAGCGCTGGCTAAACCTCCGTCTCTTTGTTTCTCGGCCCAGCTAAAGGGAAACACAAAACGGAAAAATGCCAAGAAGAACAACGGAGTGCGAATGGGCTGGGAACCGCACGCTTGGCCAAACCCGAATCCGAGTTTCCTTCAAAGTGGGCAGTCATTCAAGGCGCCATTGCAAGCTGTTCAACATGTGGAGATGGCCAACTGGAGCTTCTTTGATTTCAACTGAGGTCGAAAGCTCTTGTTTTTGGTCGGATTCATATTTTCAAGGGCATCGACGTGCCCGTCGAGCATGGCTTTTGGTCTGGACCCGGTTCATGACTCAACCGAAGAAACCCCAATAGTCTTCTCCGCTGCTCATTGGTTACAGTTCGGCGAATTTCTTCGTTTCAGAAGCCCATCTCAACTTCCGGTGTTGCAGAGAAACTCGGAGAACAGTTCGGCTTGGCCAGCCCCGATGCGTCCATCTCCCTCAGCCCCTGAGCCCCTCAGCCCCTGAGCCCCTGAGCCCCTCAGCCCCTCAGACCGGGCGCGTGCGCTTGTCGGCGTAGTTGAAGTGGTCCAGCTTCTGCGTGAAGAGCTCAATCTGTGGCTCGGGGATCCTGAGCGCATGTTTTGGTCAGAAGGGCACACTGCCAGTCGGTCGGTCTAGTCGACCGCCAGCCAACAGTGGTTAACGTAGTGGGGAGTTAGGGTGAAGTTATAAAAAAGGTTATAGTCGAAAGCAAGACTACGATGTACAAAGGTTAAAGGTTACACGTAAAGACTACGTAACCTTTGGTGAGACCAAGCATCAACGATTCAAGGTCGCACCAAGAGCAGCCACGCCACAAATGGCCTGGCGCCTTCAACCCTACCTTCCCGCCCAATACCCCAGTTTCACCGGTAAGTATGTAAAACAATCAACGATTGGTTCTGCATTCTATCGTTGGTTGCGCATCATATGTGTCATTTGTGCTCTCTCTCCCAGAAAATGAACCACCCGGTCAGACTGGATCGGCCATCTTTCTCTGTAGTTCCTATCCCTCAAAGCACAAACATATCCCGCCACCGATCAACATGCTCATTAGTTGACTGTTGTTCAATGTTGACACATCTAAATTAGCGCTTGAATGGGTGAACCGTTAACAACCTTCACACGTGTAATATGCAAAGGTCTGATTCCTCTAATAAGGCGTGCTCTCGGAGGTCCGCGCTACTTTTTGACGGGACATGGAAATAGGAAGCGGGAGACTCAAAGGCCCCTCAAACTAGCTTTCTTCTTGGCTGCCAATCAATCTGTCTGTCAAACGTCCGCCTATGGAAGATGTTCCCAAAAGCAAGATGGTCATATAACGCTGTCCTACAAGGTTGCTCAAATCAGCTGCACAGGCCACGTGGGTATCAATGTGAAGATCATATGGCTATCACTTTGAATAGGGAGCTCCCTCCAAATTTGATGCACTTTTTAGATCCCCCTGAACCCTCAAAACTCCCTCAAACATGGGTTATTGCCCCAAGATAATCTTAGTCCAGGCCCATATTATAATTAATGTCCACTACAGTGTCCCTCAAAGTTCACACCCAGGAGGGCTCCGGACAACCTCACCCCCAGACTCATGGTCGTGGCCACATCTCTCTGAATTATTTCCAATGCCCCAGCTTGAACTTACGGTGCCCGAAACCCATTTACAAACAATATCTTGGTTAGTTTCACTTGCTGCAGGAGCAAACATCCAACCAAAAAACAAAGTCAACGTGTGCCCCCTCCCACCCCCACCCCACAAAAACACGTGAGCCCTTTGTTTGTATCTAACAAACCGTACTAAAGTTGTAGCCCCCTATTCTAGTAAACGTAAAAACACGGTAGACATCTGCTGCAGGGTGTCTTCGAGCTGGCCGGCTTTGCTGCTTGCCATTGTCCTGACCCGAGCATCCCATGGGCAAGTAAGAAGCTTGCTAAAGACCGGTCATTTCATGGCCCGACTTCGACCCCATGCGAAAAGTTCATGGTTTGCTGGTACATGAAAGAATATCCAAGGGGCAACATGTGAAAGGGCAAGCAAAGTCTGGCACGGAGTAACACGAAAAGCCATAACTGCTGAAATTGTGAAACCCAAGCACTAACACCTGTCCGGTGATTTAATTTTGACCCAATTTCGACATTGTCAACATAAGACCCGCGTGTTTGCTCCTTAGAATATCGATGCTTGTTGAGTCCCAGTTCAATGGTTCAATGGCGCTCTGGTTCCTTCAGCTTGAGTTATGCGGCCCCTTGAGAGAGAAGCAGACTCCATTCTGGAAGAGAAGCGTCCTTTGACATGTTGGGTTGCCCTGGCAAAAGGAAACCAAGACTAAAAAAAAACGCGGTGCCCCTGCTGATATTAATTTGGACCCGCACCCAGGTTTCAGCGGCTGCAACTTTGGTTCCACACCTGTCGCCACTCAGATGCCCAGTGGATTGCCAGGGAGAAAACAAGAATCGGCTTTTTCTTTTTGGGTTGGTTGAGTTTAAAGGGGGGAGCCTTCCCCAAAAAAAGTGGGCAGAGTCCATGTTTCTACTGGTTGATTCCCTTTCCATGTTCTTTTTTTTTTTTAACCATTGTTCTCTTCAAAAACCGGTCGTTTTCACAGGGAAGCCTTCCCCAAAGACAAACCGTTGAACAAAGGGGAGCAACCCCCTGGGCAACTAGGGCAACTGGGCCAAAGGCCACCGGACACAGGCCCAGCCTGCGGGCCGGCCAAGTACCGGCGCCAGCAACAGGACCGCGGCAGCTCTCAGCATGGCTCGCTCGCGTTTAAACGCGCCCGTCCGTGACTCGACGCGAGTTTGAGCCACAGCTGCGCGATTGTCCAGGCTTCGGAAAACACGGCAGCTACAAGTCTGGGCTGCCCGATTGCAGGTCCCCCGCTAAACGTGAATAACTTTCAGTGGGTTAAATGGAAACTACCACTAAACACTAAAAGGCTTAAAGCTAAGGGGATGGCTGGGAGCCACCAAGAAGCTTAGACTTATAGACTGGAGGGGCCACCAAGAAGCTTAGACTTATAGACTGGAGGGGTCAAGAATCCCCTGCCGAGTGAGTCTCCTAAAACCTGCCCCCCCTCTGTGGTTTACAAGCGCGATGGTCATGGCTAGGAAGAATCGTTGTCTAAATTCCCTTTTCGGGGGTGCATAGCCGTCCCGACCACGGCATGCGTGAGAAAAGGTGGTCGAAGCAGAGGCAGGGCCCAGGCATGCCCTGGACGATTTCCAAGGCGCTGCACAACTCGTCACATGCAAACACAGACTTGGCTGGAATAAGGACCCCAGCAACAAACTATATTTGCTTTGCCTGGTTAGTGCAAACCAAATGGGACCCCAAAAAAGCAATCAACATCAAAAGGGAAGCAAATTCTGGGGAAACACAGAGCGACAGCGCGGCGTGCAAACACGCCGGATGGACGTAACACCGATCCACCTGCCCTCTCAGAAAACCTGAACACGACTCCTTTCTTCCGGAAAAGGGGCCGACTATGCGACATGTTTCTTGGAGCTTATCACCCAGTGCTTCAGGACGATCGCAAGGGGAACCACTACAGCCGAGTGACTATTGGTGACTCAAACCGACGTCCGTCGAGGGCCATACAGGGCCCATTAGTTTATTTTGCTATGTCTTCGGAGGGGATGGTTCGGCATCACTGATTGCAGGTGAGAGTATATGATATGCTGGTTCCCGTTCTCGCTTAGCACGAGAAGAAAAAGCCACTCCCCAAGATTCAGACATCCAACAACGACTGCAATCATGGTTTCAGCCCCGCCTTGTGGACGCAAACTAAATAGCTGCCGCGCGTGGAGTTTCCGAACTGTGCAAAAGCCGAGTGGTCGGCATCCCATTCGCTCAACACATGAGCTTCTGGGAAGCCTAAGACCCCCGACCGCCGCACATCCCGTATAACCTTGACAGCAACCTGGCGCTGACCGCCAGGGCGTAGCAAGTGTGCGTGGGCTCATGTATGGAACATCCCATCTGGGGGGGCCTTCTCAAGGCCTACAACTTGTCCAACTTGGAAGCGACAAATTCAAAACCGTGCTGGCAACATGTGTCCTCATATTTCGGGAAGCGGCCACAGAGAAGGCTGGCAGCTTGTAGCTTTGGCTGCAAATACACCCAACACCGAACTCCCTTCAACTGCTGATTGGACATTGTAAGGCAAGGGATCAACCAATAAACGTGGGGATCATAGGTGCAGCCTTTGCAATCTGTGTTGAATCTCACGAGCGGCCGCCTGTAATTTTGGTTGTATTGACACTCATCAACCTCCGGCTACCCATCATCACCCCTCAAAATCATTGGCTGAACACACCATTAGGGGTCCAAGTAATTTTGACAACGTTTATCAACCCTAAAGGACAAACCTTGCTGAGTGTTAAACAGGGAGTGTGAACAACAGAAGACAATCACTTCTTCTCGCCAACACGGTAGTGCCATGTCCCTGTAAAGCCAACTGTGTTGCGTGTTTTTTGTTTAAACACTCATCACCGAAGCGCAAGCGGAATATTTTGCACCCGGCGACGAAAACATGTGGCAGGCTTGGCACAAACACCGAAAGATCCATCCACAGCTTCCGAGTGCCTCTCTGTCATCCTTGCAGTCGCGACAAAGAAGCACCTGGGCCCCGGACGAAAAGCGGCGAGCTCGCCCCTAAAATCTCCAACAGTGAAAATCAGTCATGCAAACTTCAGTTTCATCAAGAGACTAATCAAACAGCTTCATTCAAAGTGGATGTCCCCTATTCATCCAAGCGGAAATTCGGGTGAACGAATGGTCAAAGCCGCATGTGAACTAAACCTTATAGTCAAAATCAAAACGACCTAATTTCGATTGGGTCCCGCACAACCTCCGGGAAGATTCATCAGTGATGGATCGCTCCCCTTTGGCCAAAGTTCCCAATGTCTTCCCCCTAAACATCACCCAACTTCACATTGGCAGAAGGTGATATTCAAAATCAACAAAAGAAGACACATGGGAAGTCCTGAGTATAAGCCCTGTCCCCTCAATTTGGGGTGTCATGCCTCTAAGAGGAGCCCGAAGAAACCTGGTTGCTCGGTAAGCCTGGTAGAGCAGGGGAAGCACATTTGTTTTTGGGGCCCGGCGTGTCCATGTTTTTTTTTCTTCAACCCAGCTGGGCACATTGTTTGTTGAACAACTCGGTACAGCTTGTGAGGGTGTTCTTTTTACAAAGCTCAGTGGGCCTTTCGAGTCTGAGGCCCTGAAACCCAAGGTTTCGGGTTCAGTGGACAACCCGAAGAACAGAATCCCAGAAATCCAAATTTAAAGGAAGAGTTGGATTCACCAAAAACTAGCGCCATGCTTAACTGGAGGCTTTTCTGGAATTGGTGTCCTCCATTTGCGAATACGGCCCTTCCAGCAGTGATAATAGATTCTCCTTTGAAACCATTAATTAAGGGTACGTAAGGGAGAGCATATTCTTCGGGAAATGAAACACACAACACGAGTAGTGATAGAGTTTCTTTGAAATCAGCAGGGGAAAGCAAAACATATTGTTACTTCACAACCCTTGCTGCGGTAGCAAAAACCATTTTTCGTGCTGTTGCCCTGAACAGAAAAAAAAGAAGAAGACAAAAAACGCCATGTGAAGCTTGGATTCTTTTGCGGGGCATGGACCGACTTCCGGTCACTGAGAGCTCTCTCTGCGGCCGCGGTCCCCGGCGCGGCCGAAGGTGCCGTCGCCCAGCAGGCGCTGGACTTGGTACCTCGCGTGCCTCGCGGCGCGAGCGCCCGGGGCGCCAGCGGTACCGCAGTACCGCGGTACCGCGGCGGGAAGATGTGGCCGGCCGAAACGAAAGACTTGGAGAACTTGAAAAGAGGGCGGCTCGTGCTTCTTGTTTTGGGTGCCCTTTTTTGAGTGGCTTTAACAAGGCAACCAAGAGGAACACCAATACCATTTTGGGGGTCCAACCAAAAAAACTAACACGCCAGGCATCCCAGAGGGACCAAAAGCATCTTTGACCCATCTGCCAAGGAATCTCGCCCCTTTCCAAAAGAGAATCGTTGAAACCAAAGAGGGACATGGGTGTGGCTCAGAATTAAACGATCGGACAGCAAACCGCAGGTACTTTGGTACCCATGTTTCCACTTACCAGGGGTCCATTTTGGTACCGGTTTTTTGAGCCACAGCCACATCTAGTTGGTGCCTCTTCGTCCCTTGGCAAACAGTGGTCGATACCGGCTCCCACAAATTGCCTTGTCACTCCTCATGAGTAATTCAGGGGTCACTGGATTCCCCAAATCTAAAGTTAATCAATTTGCTGGTGGTTTTCCTTAAACCGATCGCCACTTTTGGAGGTGCTAAAGGGAAATGGAGGAACCCGTGTACTTTTTTCCGTTCAAGGGGTAGTCCCAACAGATCTGACATCAAGCCCCAACCTCTCAGCGCCGAGTTTGTATGCTAAATGGGGACATGGACAACCTGAGACCTTTTAAACTGCCCCTTAAGACCTTGCATGCTGACATCTAGTTGGTGCCTCTTCGTCCCTTGGCAAACAGTGGTCGATACCGGCTCCCACAAATTGCCTTGTCACTCCTCATGAGTAATTCAGGGGTCACTGGATTCCCCAAATCTAAAGTTAATCAATTTGCTGGTGGTTTTCCTTAAACCGATCGCCACTTTTGGAGGTGCTAAAGGGAAATGGAGGAACCCGTGTACTTTTTTCCGTTCAAGGGGTAGTCCCAACAGATCTGACATCAAGCCCCAACCTCTCAGCGCCGAGTTTGTATGCTAAATGGGGACATGGACAGCCTGAGACCTTTTAAACTGCCCCTTAAGACCTTGCATGCTGACATCTAGTTGCTGCCTCTTCGTCCCCTTGGGAAACAGTGGTCGATACCGGCTCCCACAAATTGCCTTGTCACTCCTCATGAGTAATTCAGGGGTCACTGGATTCCCCAAATCTAAAGTTAATCAATTTGCTGGTGGTTTTCCTTAAACCGATCGCCACTTTTGGAAGTGCTAAAGGGAAATGGAGGAACCCGTGTACTTTGTTCCGTTCAAGGGGTAGTCCCAACAGATCTGACATCAAGCCCCAACCTCTCAGCGCCGAGTTTGTATGCTAAATGGGGACATGGACAACCTGAGACCTTTTAAACTGCCCCTTAAGACCTTGCATGCTGACATCTAGTTGGTGCCTCTTCGTCCCTTGAGAAACAGTGGTCGATACCGACTCCCACAAATTGCCTTGTCACTCCTCATGAGTAATTCAGGGGTCACTGGATTCCCCAAATCTAAAGTTAATCAATTTGCTGGTGGTTTTCCTTAAACCGATCGCCACTTTTGGAGGTGCTAAAGGGAAATGGAGGAACCCGTGTACTTTTTTCCGTTCAAGGGGTAGTCCCAACAGATCTGACAGCAAGCCCCAACCTCTCAGCGCCGAGTTTGTATGCTAAATGGGGACATGGACAACCTGAGACCTTTTAAATTGCCCCTTAAGACCTTGCATGCTGACATCTAGTTGGTGCCTCTTCGTCCCTTGGGAAACAGTGGTCGATACCGACTCCCACAAATTGCCTTGTCACTCCTCATGAGTAATTCAGGGGTCACTGGATTCCCAAAATCTAAAGTTAATCAATTTGCTGGTGGTTTTCCTTAAACCGATCGCCACTTTTGGAGGTGCTAAAGGGAAATGGAGGAACCCGTGTATTTTTTTCCGTTCAAGGGGTAGCCCCAACAGATCTGACATCAAGCCCCAACCTCTCAGCGCCGAGTTTGTATGCTAAATGGGGACACGGACAACCTGAGACCTTTTAAATTGCCCCTTAAGACCTTGCATGCTGCAATGGGTGTGGCTCAAAATTAAACAAGAGGGGTTACGCAGGTTTTGGTCCATGTTTCCACTTACCAGGGTTCCATTTTGGTACCGTTTTTTTGAGCCACAGCCAATTGCCCCTTAAGACCTTGCATGCGTTGGAATCTGTGCCCTTGCAAATGTGGCATGGCTCCAATGTGCAAAGCGTGCGAAAGCCGAAGAAGAGGGGCAACACCAATCTGCGGAACCCTGCGCCACGAAGCTTCGGCCCATTCGCGAGGCAGGAAAAGGGGGCGAAACAATAAGGTGGCTACAAGAAGGTGGCTGAAAAAAGCGTGTGAATTCTAAGTTTCCGATTTCCCTGAGCCTTTGCCATCCGGCGCACTCCTTCTTCTCCCCAAGCATCTGGCCCTGGCGGAGCTTGCCGCTCGCATTCATCTGAATCAGTGCATTTAGCTTGGTTGCTGCAACGACCCCTCTGCAAAAAGTTTAACGGGTGCAATGGAAAACCCCTTGAATTCCCAAAAAGTTAAAGCCGAAAGGTTCAACCCAATAGCCATCAAGTTAAGCCTTTCCCCAAGATTTCTGAGGCAAATGACCCATGAGGGGAACACATGAAATCCACAAAGACCAAGGAGCTCCTCTTTCAAGAAAGCAGCCTAACAATCTCGGCGCCTCATTGAGCCTAACAAAAAACGCCCTCGGCTCATATGAAGCACGGTCAAAATTCTGAACGTTTTCCCAAGAGGGCATGTGAACATCAGGGCTCGTTCCCTGGAATTTGTGTAAACTCCCAAATGGACCATAGACTGACTTTTCGAGACCAAACCTCAAATATGGACATCCATAAGGAGAACCTCTTTGTTTCATCTGCTTCTGTGTCTCTCTGGCGAATATTTACAGGCATGGCAAGAACAGCAAGGCTTGGCAAGGCTTGTTTGGGCAGAAACACCTTAGACTGCAAACACAAAAGCTAGCCACGCGCCTAAACAAATAAGGCTTAGCTTGAGATCAGCTCTGATTGAATCTCCCGCGATTCATCCAAGCAATTGACTATCAACCCCGCTTTTGGACCCAAAAGCGGAGTGCAGAAACCTTCCTCAAGAGAATCCTCACTTCCCAAGTTGACTGGCCAAAAAAAGTCCGAACTATTTATTTACCACTAAAATGGTCCAAACCCAAAAAGTTTAAAGTCCATCAACTCAGGAAGTGAGAATCTCTTTTGCTTCGAAGCGAACCCTTCAGAACTGTCAGCGGCTGAACTCTGGGGTCACTCTGTCCCGTGCAGCGGGAGCCACCTCAGTCCAGGAGAAGTGGATGATCTCGTCCTGATCAATGAGTCAGGTTGCAAGAACGAGCCCCTCTGGGCTGTCCGTTTTCAGATCCGCGAAAAGCGAGTAACGTTTAGAGGGTGAAATGCTTGGTTGCTGTTGACCCCCCCCCCCTGCAAGAAGTTTAACTTTTTGGAGGTTTAGTGGAAAACACCTTTATTTCAACCAAAAGCTTAAAGTCTAAAAATCCAACCCAATAGCAATCAAGAATGGAAATCCAACCACTAAAAAGCTAAAGAAGCTGAGGAACCGGATGGCTGGGAAGCACCAAGGTATATCAGGAAACAAACTTGGTCTTACCCCTTCATCTATCATCATATGTATATATATGTATTATGATTATTATCATTATTATTAGTATTATTAGTATTATCATCATTATCATTATTAATATGGTTATTATGATCATTATCATTCTGATTAATAATAATAATATTATTATTATTATTATTAATATTGTTAGTTTTATCAGTATAATTGTTATTATTATTATAATCATCATTATCAATATTCTTATTATTATTACTATTATTAGTTTTATCATTATCATTATTAGTATTATCATTATCGTTATCATTATTCTTATTATTCTTATTATTATTAATAGTATTATTATCATCATTTTCATTATTAATATGGTTATTATGATCATTATCATTCTGATTAATAATAATAATATTATTATTATTATTAATATTGTTAGTTTTATCAGTATAATTGTTATTATTATTATAATCATCATTATCATTATTCTTATTATTATTACTATTATTAGTTTTATCATTATCATTATTAGTATTATCATTATCGTTATCATTATTCTTATTATTTTTATTATTATTAATAGTATTATTATCATCATTTTCATTATTCATATTGTTATTAGTATCATTATCATTATTATTATTACTATTAGTATTACTATTATTAGTTGTATCATTATCATTATTATTATTAAAAACACATTCGCTCAACTTGGTTGTTTGCCAGGTTGGTTGTTTGGTCGAAACGAGACTTAGCTGTGTATGTCATGGCTTTACTTTGCCGGCCATTCAAAATCCCATGGGCCGTTTTCGCAGGATGAGAGTTTCTTGATTGCGTTGCTGGCTAAGGCATGCACAGGGGCTCCAGGTGTGCTCGCAACTGCGGGATGGACCTGGCTGTCGATCAGGCAAAGATCAGTGAGGAACGCAGGCGGCGGATCTGCAATGATCAGCAATTCTTTCGGCGAGGAATTTGGCTGGCAGGCCACAAAGTTTTCGGCGAGAAATCCAACGGGCAGGCTTAATAATTTTCGGCGAGTTCCTCTGCGAGGGGCTCTCCCAAAAGTCAGGATCTCGGCGAGCAATCTCGGCGAGTTGCGCTGAGCGGCTTGGCTGGCTGCGAAGCACGAAAATGTCTCCTTAAGGCCCAGTTCCACCAAGCCCTGCTTTCGGAGAGGCCCTCGCAGAGGGGCTCTCCTTGAGAGGGGGGTCTGGCCGACTTTTTGGAGAGGCGACTGCATCGCGCCCCAAGTTTCTCTCCCAAAAGTCGGCCAGACCCCCCTCTCAAGGAGAGCCCCTCTGCGAGGACCTCTCCGAAAGCAGGGCTTGGTGGAACTGGGCCTTAAGGAGAGATTTTCGTGCTTCGCAGCCAGCCAAGCCGCTCAGCGCAACTCGCCGAGATTGCTCGCCGAGATCCTGACTATTGGGAGAGCCCCTCGCAGAGGAACTCGCCGAAAATTATTAAGCCTGCCCGTTGGATTTCTCGCCGAAAACTTTGTGGCCTGCCAGCCAAATTCCTCGCCGAAAGAATTGCTGATCATTGCAGATCCGCCGCCTGCGTTCCTCACTGAGCTTTGCCTGATCGACAGCCAGGTCCATCCCGCAGTTGCGAGCACACCTGCACCCCTGCATGCCTTAGCCAGCAACGCAATCAAGAAACTCTCATCCTGCGAAAACGGCCCATGGGATTTTGAATGGCCGGCAAAGTAAAGCCATGACATACACAGCTAAGTCTCGTTTCGACCAAACAACCAACCTGGCGAAACAACCAAGTTGAGCGAATGTGTTTTATTATCATTATCAATATCATTCTTATTATCATTATTATTACTATTAGTAGTTTTATCATTATCATTGTTATCATTATCATTATCATTATCATGATCATTATTATTATTACTATTATTATTATTATTATTGTTATTACTATTATATTTGCTGAAGATTGACTCTTTCTTTCAAGCCCTTTCACCGCTTCTTGGGACAATCAAGGGACCGCCTCGAACAGAAACTGGGCTTTTCCTTACAAACGTGGGGCGAATGGGATCTGGAAGCTGGCGTGCGAATCAAGTCTACCTGGACCCCACCCCACAATGTCCATCTGGGTGAATTATAAAATTTCACCAACCTCCTGAAACAAGGTGGTTGGGGGGCTATTCCCCACACCATGTGGGGCGAATCCAGGTCCAGGTAGCGGAATCTCCATGACCCCCCCCCATTTTTCAGGGTCATGCAAAATCCAGGTACACCTATCATGACCCTTTTTGACATGAGGTCATAGCAGTTTTTTTTGGTAGCCCATTGTTGAGAAGTCAGAAGGGGACTCCAAGAAGCTGCATGCCTCCCTTGGCCTCCTGCGGTCCTTGTCCGAGTCCGCCGACTTCTTCTTCGCGCCGCTGCCTGCGGAGATGCAAATCCGGAGAGTGCGAGATGGCCCAACATATGTGTGCAGGTAGACATGTACATATTATGCATATATGTATATATATATATATGGATGTATATGTGTACATCATATACTAACATATGTGTACCGCGTACACATAATCATAGATGCACACTATATGTCAATTTTTCGCCCCTGCTCAAAATGGGGGAATCCCTAATATTGAATCCGACTTCGAACAACTCAGTCTATTTGCCGCACCCAAACCAATGTCAGAAAAGGAGAACCGGATACCCCCCTTAGGCCCTTGATGTGTCTTTTTGTGTCTACCTGTTTCTGCCCGTGCTTCTCCTATGGCTGTCAAGTTTGTATGAACACCAAACGCTGTCATGTTGCGAGGAAGCTGCTTTTGGGGAACGGCCGTTTCGGGCTCCATGCTGATCTGCTGGAAGGCAACCAATGTTGCGCTATGAAGGGTACCTTGTGTTTTCTTGGGACAGTGTAGCTTCGCTTGTTCCGTGGGTGCTAAATCAGGTCTGTGAACAAATGTTCCATCTTGTGGCTTCCTGGTAGACTTGAAAGTCATGAATCATTTGGCACCCAAATGATTCCTGGGATTCTTGCCGGTCTACGCCAGTTGTGACCCAAACCCCCGCCCAAGAGCTGTGCCGAGTTCGGGATTCCCATCTTTGGGCAAAAAAAACCTCGTGTCTCAAAGGAAGCCAAAGGGGATGGTCCAGTTTGTGCCGTGAAAGCCAGAAGATCGGGCAGGTACACTTACCCCTTAAAACTCCAAGCCCTGGGGAAGTTAATCTTTTACAGCCATATAGCCCATGTTACCCCCAAAAAGTTGAAAAGTTGTGTTTTTAAGAGGTAAGTACAAGTTGGAGATGCCAGTTCTGACACTGCCAAAGAGATGAAGGTGGTCGGATGAAGACAAAACCACGTTGCCTTCAGGTGTGCTTTCCCCCGCCCCAAGTCCCTCAATGGATCACAAGCTGCTGGATATCTTGACGCCTAAACACATACACCCATTTTTCTGAGGTGTTTGGTTGTACTTGCGCCCCACAACCCTCCCTCTCGAATCCTAGCCCGTCTGGCGACCAACTTACCCGCTCGAGCATCCAAGGCCGCTGCCACTGGATGATCCAGAGCCAGAACTGCTGTACCTGGGCGGAGCAAAAATACAAATCCACGAGTCGATGACAAGGGAAAAACAAAAAAAACATGACACCACTGGAATCCGCCGATGAACCAGAAACTAACAGAACCACGAGTCGATGCGGAACCTGAAACATGACACCACTGGATTTTTTTCCGATGCTCCAAACTGAAACTAGTGGTATCCATCTATGTTCAACCCCACCATCCCAAGCTGGTCTTTGACAACTTGATGCACCATTAAAAGGTTTCACTACCTGTCCCGCACTAAATGAGTGCAAATAACGAGCCCTGAATGAGGGGTCTGCAGGAACGTCATAGAACAATCAGGTATCCCTGTATCCACCCACTTGCTGCGTACGTGTATGCGGTTGTGTTTGATTCCGTATTATCTTCACCCATCGTTCTTTATAGAAAGCACCTATTTTCCAGGGGCTTTGCCTTTTTTTTGAAGAGAAGGATCCCTGAAGAGAATGGCGAGGGTACCGCTAGTTGAGTGGTACCCGTTTTATGTTTTGAGCAAAAAAACAACGACAGCAACAGCACCGTGGGGTCTGATGCCGTATGTTTAACACATCTCCACATACCACTGGTGAGCTTTCCAAGCCCAGAACCCACATACCCACTCGGCTGTGGCCCAAAATCAAGCCAGCTGGGGCAGACCGCAGGTGGTAGGCTTCCCTGGGGTTCCTTGCCCCCATAGAAAGAATGGCAAGGACCCGATTTGGATGACAAGCCTAAGGTACATCATGGTGGCTACATCTGAACCCCCATGGTTTTAATGGTGGTTTGAACCCCAGGATCTTTGTTTCCATATATCAAGGTGCCCTTTTGGCAATATCTTGGGCCACAGCCACATAGCCATACGTACCCACATGGGTGTGGGTCAAAAGTAGAGTAACCCAAAATGGGCTACCCTGGTAAATGGGAACATGAACTAATACCTGCGGTACCCTGGTGTTTAATTTTTTGACTCATACCCCTAGCAAAAAATATATATCAGTTTTCCCAATTTGGGTGTAAAATCTTTTGAGCCAGCCATCTAGCCACACATAGGCCAATTTGATACCCATAGCCATGTAGCCACTCATACGCATAGCCATCTTTTGTACCACCAGCCATGGTAAATTAAGATAGCAACACGGGCCAATCGATTCACCCCCCGCGCGATAAGAACCAGCTCCCCATGTCCCAACATCGCGCACTCCGTGGGGCTGCGGTTCCGTTTCCGCGGCTCCTCCAGCGAGAAGCTGAAACGTAGGGCAGGCAAGCTGTGGCGACCCCTGATGAACAAAACCCCGGAATCCAGATGAATCCATACAAGGAGTCTTGGAGGAAGCAGAAGGCCTGAACCCTCAACATTTCCTTAAAAATGGGCTTGACCCCCAAAATTCATGGTTGGTGATATCCCCATTTTTATGGTTAGTTTGAGGGTCCAGGAATCCAGATGAGTCCAGAGGGGGAATCGTGGAAAGGCTCAAAGGGTAAGAGGGGACCACAAATGGAAGGTATTGCGGGCAAGGATCCCTTGGTAAGATTGACTATTCAGAGGGTCTAAACCACCCCAGGCATCAAGAGGGGTCTTGGAAGAAAGGCTTCCCCAAAGAAAGGGGAATCTATAGGAGAATCCAAAGGAGAGCTCCCTGGGTAGGTTATGGGGTAGGTGAATTCCCAAACAAACCATAGGAGTCTTGGAGGAAAGGCTTCCCCAAAAAGACCACTGATTTATAAACCCCAGGTATTGATAGGGCGAGTCTTGGAAGAAAGGCGTTCTCAAAGGGACCCCTGAATAAGTGGAGGGGTTGAATGACGAAATGTGTCTTTGGACCCGAGTCAGCAGCAAACAAAGTCGGCAAATCGATCGGCATCAGTTGGGGTTATAAGGCTAGGAGATTCTCCGTGTTGGGAACCTGTGTTGGCGGCGTTTGGCCATGGCTCAAAATCCAAATCGTACCCCCAGTGAACATCCCAATCTCTTACCTTGATCTTCCAGGACCCTTAAAAAAATGCAGTTGCCTTGGGCTGATTTACCTGAATCTTCAAAATGCCATCTTAAAAATGGGCTTGACCCCCAAAATTATGGTTGGTGATCTCCCATTTTTATGGGTAGTTTGAGGGTCCAGCTACCTTTTGCGACCAAGAGCGAAAAACCAGAAGGGCCCTGTTTTCGAAAAGCCCTTGGAAGACCAAGGCTGTTTGATCCCACTCCAACCGGCGGGAAATCGGAATGGACTTTGTACAGTGTGGGGAAGGCCGAAATGGGCCAAAGACCGCCAAACACAAATCTTGACCGAACATGATCTCACTTGCCCCTTAGGGACCCAGAAATAAAAGGTGATCACCTTTTGGGGCCACTAAAACTAGACCAAGAAGGAGAAACCAAAAGGTCGGCTTTGGGCAACTGAGTGATGTGTTGCTTTGTTCACTCAAAATAAAGCTGGGCTCAGATCCCCCGCCAAAGCGTTAAATGGAAACAAAAAGAATTCGGGCAGGAATCCCCAGGTGGACGGACCTTCATCAGGGTTCAGTTTGTTGTACCCCGAATCGGTGAGCCCGTTTTGTGCCTGAAGTGGGGTCAGAACCAACGCATGTTTTCGCTGGTCCTTGATTCCTTGGGGTAAGGAGGGGCTAACACCCTATTTATCCCAACAGAGACCGCATTCTGATCCAACGACCACTGTCACATGGTGGTTTGCGAGAACAACAAAGTCTGTCAATATTTCTTACAATGTTGCTGTGGGAATTGTGAGGCCCCTACTGTGGGAAGGGCAGTGAACCAAACAACCTGTCCAAGATGCTACTTGCTTGTCTCGTTCCCCCTAGTTTTCTTTTACAACAGTAAAGAAGCTACAACTTGCAACAACTACCACTTCACTCGATACCCTCCTTCCATTCGCGTAAGTCCACTGGAAAAAAAGCAGTGACGGATTCCCTTTAAAACCAGCAGGGGAAAAAAAATTCTTAAGCAAATGGAAGCCTCGCTTCGAGTTTCCCTTCAAGCCGTGCCCTTGAAAAAAAAAGAATAATGTTGAACCCAGATTAATACACCCCTGTTTATTCATATGGGGGTGCCGGCCCCTCCAAAAGTGGTCTGAATCCCCACTAAACCCAGGGAGAAGCATCCCCAAATTAATAAACAGGGGTTTATTAATCCGGGGTCAACATTGCTCCAAAAGACTCCTCCAGTGGCCATGAAAAGAAATGGCACCCAGTGTTTCCCCCCGGCCAAAAACGGCCACTCTCTTCAATATCCTTGGATGTAGAGAGTTTTCCCCCCGGCCACACATGAAGCCCAAAGAGTTGGCGCCGCCCCGTGCGCGGGAACGAAGAACCGCCCCCCACTGCCCCGTTCGACCCGCTCCGTGCTGGACCGACGCCGGTCTCTTCGGCCGCGCCTGAGAGCCGAGTTGAGTCGAGTCGAGCCCCGAAGGCGTCCCAGGAGTTGGTAGTTCCCACCCTCAAGACTCCAACTCAAAGAGTGGGTGCTTTTGCTTCTGCATTTTGTTCCACTCAAAGATGGGTTCTTGCAACCCAAAATGATGGGTTGCTGGATTTCCCCGCGTTTTTATCGGTATTTTCAGGGTGCAGGTACCTGTTTTGGGACGTTGTGTGAAGTCTGTGGACGTTTTCTAGAGTTGTCTGGAGGTTTTGTGAAGCTTTGGTGGAGTTGTGGAGTTGATGGAGCTGATGGAGCTGATGGAGCTGGTGGCGTGTGTCAGTTCGCGGAGTTGGTGCTATTTGGTACCGTGTGTCGGGGGGAGTAGGACCACTCATGTGAGAGACAATGCTATTTCTTGTCCAAAAACCCGTGTGAGAAGCAAAGTCAAAAGAATCAGACAGGAGCCTCCATTGAAGCATGAAGGGTGTTGGGGACCTCAAGAGCCTGTTGAGGAACCAATATTCTTTGGAACACCGATATACGAATGTGGCTCAAAAAAGCAAACAGGAGCGGCAAACCGCAGGTTTTGGTACCCATGTTTCCACTTGCCAGGGTATAAGTATATAATCCAGTTTGGGTACCGTTTTTTTTAGCCACAGCCATACGGGGCTGAATTTCGGCTGCCCGCACCCTGGTGGTGGCCACATGGGTTCCGAGGGGCCGATTTTCGCCCGAGAGACCTGCGCCCTTTTTCTCTCAGGATTTGTCTAAACCCTGGGATTACACCCTAGGGAAACGACGCAAGATAACTCTAAATAAGCCAAAACAATCAGGCTTTTTCTGGAAATAGCCTAGAATAGGGTGATCCTAAGTGGGTTGAACTTCTACCCTGATTTGCCAAACACCCACCTTTTTGTTAGGGGTGACTAAACTTGGAGGTCGTTTTCCGCGGGAAAACCACGCTTTTTTTTCCAAAGATGCCCGGGACAAGTTGGTAGTTGCTGATTTTAAAGCCACCATTCTTGGGGGGGTCCGATTCCTAAACGAAGGACCCAGTTCTGCGTCCCAAAAGTTGTATCGTTGTCATTTTTTTGTCGGATTTTGTCGATGTTCATAAACAAAAACACATTTTGGGTTTGGGGGGGGGGGGGGGTGTCAATATACATGTTTAAGCATACCCAATCTGACTCACCTGGCTGAAGATGGCCAAAAAAGAAGAAGAAGCAAAAACCGACGGCGCTTCGGATCACTCACCGGCGGCTCCCGCTGGGTTTTTTGGGGTCCCGGCGAGCTCCTGCTGCGGCGCGCCTGTGGATTCTTTTTGTCAAGGCTCCTCGCCTTCGGGTGTTGGCATCGTGAAGCCATGGACAGCTCAGATGCCCAGTGGATTGCCAGAAACAAGAATCGGCATCCTTTTTTGGGGTTGGGTGAGTTTAAAGGGGGGTTCCTTCCCCCAAAAAAGCGGGCAGAGTCCATGTTTCTAGGGGTTGATTCCCTTTCCATGCTTTTTTTAAAACCATTGTTCTCTTCAAACACCGGTCGTTTTCACAGGGTTTCTTGGGGTTTTCTAGAAAGAAGGACCCTGGAAAGAGTGGGGAAGGTACCCCTAAGATGTTGCGTCCAGTTGGGATGTTTGCAATCAATATTCCCAACAAGGCCCCCGGTTTGATCATGGGTAACTTCTCCAATTTGGTGGAAAGTATCATCTTTTGAAACCCAAAGAATCATCTTTCTGGTGTGATAGGCAGGGAATGAGAAACGGAACGACCCTCATAAATTATAAACCAACTGGTGCTTTCCTTTCAGGGCACTTCTGGGTTCGTTCCCATATTCCGTACTGAGCACGAGCAAGTCATTGCCAAAATCGAGCAGCTAGAATTGCCAAGATCGATCAGGGTGAACAGAATCCGTTTCGCACCAGTTGGGATGGATGGAACATGAGGAAACCCAGTTCTTGCATTTTCAAACCCAAAGAATTGCCAAAATCAACATCAGCTTGATATGGGGGGGGGATCAATATTCCCGACAAGGGCCCCAGTTTTGACCATGTGGGCAACTTTTCCAACATCGCGAAAAGTATCATCTTTTGAGTGGCTTCCCCCAATGGTCGTCCCATGTAACGGACCTTTTGACCAACCCCCATATCGATACCGCGGGTGGACAATCCTTTTCACACGAGTTGGGATGGACGAAACATGAGGAAACCCGGTAAAATCTGGGTGAAATATGGGTAAGCCATTCACTAACTGGTCCAGGACTTTGTCCCATACCCAGTATTGCTGGTGGCCGGCCTCAAGTACCTGGCGGTTGTGCCCTCTGCAGGGTCCATTTTAACAGCTGCGATTCGGTGGAGCCGAATCGGTGTTTGAGAGGTGGCTTCCCATTCAAAAAGACAGTCTGCTGTCGAACCAGGAGACGAATAAAACAACACACAGTGCACCAAAAAGCTTTAAACATGTTACCCTCAGGCTCCCGATGATTTTTGGGCCCTGAAAATGGGGTGTGTTATGGTGTGTTCAAGGGCCTCTGAGGAATTGGTCCGGGTTCTTCATTGGAGGGCCCAGGGGCCTGCATTGGAGGGGTGAGCCTTGGGGTAGTTTTTCGATCGCCCGGGCGATCTCCAACAAGATGTCGACCGAACTTTGCGCTAGGATTGATTGCTTCAAGGGGCAAGGTACGTCGGGTATTCAGGGGGGGGGGGGGTTCTCCCAAAATCTCGATTGTTGGGACTTGTCCAAACCTTGTCAACCTTGAGGGGGGGGGGGGGGTTAATAATCAGTTGTCACCATTACGTCGGGTAAGTGTAAGCCTGGTTAGAATTGTTACCACCGACGGTCGCTTGTGGACCATGCATGTTCCGTGCATTGAATAACAAATGCAACAAACGTTTTCCATGCGGTCCATCCCAGTCTCCGTTCAGTGGCTTCTAACCAGGCTTAACCACTTCCCTAGTGCCGTGCCCCAAACCTCGTGGGTGCCCAAACCTCCAGTGGCCATGGGACAAAGGAGCACTTTTTGCCTGGCATCACACAAAAAAACACCCTCTCAGTTGCCCAAAGGACCCAGAACTAAAAGGTTCACCTTTTGGCACCTCTACTAAAAATGGACCAGAATGCGAAAACCAAAAGGTCAAAAGGTCGGCTTTGGACAACTGAGCCCTCCATTGAGGGACTCGAGGTTGTCGATTGTGCCCTGTTCGGGGGTGTTTAGAGAAACCCAAAGCGAACACCGACATCATTGCTTGAAAACCTCCCCCCAAAAAACAGGACAACACCCAGGAAACTCCGCCATTTTTGGGGGGATAGATCCCCAAAAAAAGGCGCCCCCCGGGGAAAAAAAAGAGGACACAACCCACCCCGCCATTTTTCGGGGATCGACCCCCAACAAACAAAACGTCTATCCCCACAAACCAAAAACAACTTATTCTTCTTCTTTTCTTGTTGGGGGGGATCCCCCCCACAAGAAAGAGGGACAACACCTACTCCGCCATGTTTGGGGATAGACCCCCCAACCAAAAACAAACATCAATCTCTATCCCCAACTAAAAACCGCGGTGAGCTGTTGCCTTTTTTTTGGGGGGGGGGGGTCTCGTCCCCCCCCCAAAAAAAAAACCCATGGACAGCCCCCCCATGGAGCGAAAAACACCTCCGGACCCTCCGGACCCTTCGGGAAAGCCTCGCGGCGCCGATCATTGGACCCGCGGCGATCCTGGAGCAAAAACGGCAGGGACCTCCAGCTTCACCATGAGTGAAGGGGGGGGGTTTGCAATAGCTCACTAAAAAAAAAAAGGAACACAAGTTGGAATCTTGAGGGTTCACTCGTTTGCTTGTTTTTTTGTTAAATTATAAGTTGGAATCTCAGGGAGAACAATTACCATTTGAGGAGTGGGTTGAATGGATGTGATGGTATTGTTGCTTTCAATAAGGACGATTACCCTTCAAGAAAAAACATGTGTTTGTGTGTGCTGTATTGTTCAATCCCCCATCAAGGAGTTGGATGACCCTTCGAAAACCAATATTGGGTTGATTTGTGGAATGGTTTGAGGAATCATTCCCAATTGGATATGTCAAAAAGGGGAGCCCAATCGCCAAACGGATTTTGGTTTTCCTTGTTGATGTCTCTTTTAACAACCTGAGCCGGACGGGGTGGACGAAAGCTAGCAAATAGCAGAAGGGGAGAAGAAGTCAGTGGCTGCTTGGGGGCCAAACCTAGATTCTAAAGCACGCAGGGAGGGACCACACTATTGAGTCTCTGAGTTACTTCCACCACAAGCACATGCTGCCCACACCAAGGATTGTGCCCAGCGATCGCTACAGTTGACTTTTCTGGCTCCCCCTCGACGCCCGTTTTGTGGCATAGCCCTACCAATGCTTTGAAGGAGATGTGAGCCCCTTGGGTTCAAAAAAGGAAATTCATCGAGTTGTTTGCTTCTTTAGTTTAACAGGGTTCCTGCTCCAAGAAACACACAAACACACCATGGCCTTGCAGCCTTTTCGCTTTACCTCAGACCTCCAGTGGATTTGGGGAAAAAGGGCGCCACTTTGTCTGGTCGTTTTCCCCAACATCTGAAAGCTATGGGGTCTCTGCAAATAGGCTTTGGGGTGGTTTGGGGCAGCTTTCAGGCAGGGTTCCGAAGGGTTTCAGGGGGTTCGGGGCTGTTGGGGATACCACCCGGGCTTATCAAAAGACCACCCCAAAGAAAGGAAAAGACACAGACCTGTGAAACTGGGGGCCCACCACATTTCAGCAAAACTTTTGGCGAAGGCGAGTGGAAACTCAGCGGTCCCGATCTCGGTCTCTGTCCCGGTAGCCGTCTCGCCGATGGCCTAAGCGCGGTCTTTTTGCGAAGCCAAAAGTCTCGTTGGGCTAAGGGAAACCGATCCAATCCACGACCCACAGGTTTCGTCTGTGTTTTTGTGGAAAGAAAAGATCGTCAACCTTCAAGTGGCTGTGGCTCAAAAAACCGGTACCAAAATGGAACCCTGACAAGTCGAAACATGGACCAAAACCTGCGGTTTGCCCCTCCTGTTTAATTTTGAGCCACGCCCAAATGGAAATAGCCGAATTAAGGGTCCGACCGGGGCTTGCGGAACCCGTGACCCGGGATTTGGTCCGAAGATGTGCAGCCCGAGTCAAAACAAGTGATGCCCCAAAAATCCATCAGGAACTTTGAGGCAGGTGATCTTTGGAATGTTCTACTCAAACGGGCAATGTGTTTAGTAAGTGGATAGCAAGCCTGGTTACAAGCCACCTAGGTAACTTGTAACTAGGGTAAGTGGCTTACAAGCAGGCTTACCACCCACTTACCTGACGTACCTTGCCCCTGTTAGGTACCATCTCCTTACCCAACTGCTAGCTTGGCTCCCCAGAGGGCCAAATTTGGATCACTGAGGCCAGCCCAACGGCCGAGCTCGGCGCCGTCGTCCCGGCGCCGCCGACTGTCTCGACCTGCGCGCCAAGGAACGCACCATGGTGATGCTTCAACCCATTCCTGCTGGGGCGCGTCATAATTATTGGGTGAGTCCTAGGGGAAACGCACCCGTTCCTCGGCTTTTGGGACAAGACCCTAACCTCCCCGTTCCCCCCTCCCTCCCCACCCCCCCACCCCTCCCCCTCCCCCACCCCCCCAACCCCCTCATTTGCTCGGCTTTCAACGTGCAGAGGTCGACCGCTTTGAGGCCGAGCCCCGGGCTTCTTGCCATGGCTCTCGAATTCTCTCCTCTCCAGCTGAGGATTTCCGAGCCGGAAGGCCGAGCCGCGGGGCAACCTGAACCCCCAAGACTCCCTTTCACCAGACTCTGCGCTCGTGTCAGGCAACCTGAACCCTCAAGACTCCCTTTAAAATTCGCTATAGCCCCAAAATGATGGTTGGTGAGTTGTCCTTTTTGATGGGTAGTTTAAGGGTCCAGGAACAGTCATTTGCCCGTGGACAGCCACATGTCACCTCTATGAAGCAAATACGACGTCGATCGTATCTCATTGCACGATGCCTGTCATTGGAACCGCAAGGACCCTACTAACAACACACCCACACACACCCACACACCCACCCACACCCACACCCACACCCACACCCACACCCACACCCACACCCACACCCACACCCACACCCACACCCACACACACCCACACACCCACCCACACCCACACCCACACCCATACCCACACCCACACCCACACCCACACCCACACACCCACACACCCACCCACACCCACACCCACACCCACACACCCACCCACACCCACACCCACACCCACACCCACACCCACACCCACACCCACACCCACACCCACACCCACACCCACACCCACACACCACACCCACACCCACACCCACACCCACACCCACACCCACACCCACACCCACACCCACACCCACACACCCACACACCCACACACCCACACACACACCCACACCCACACCCACACCCACACCACACACCCACACCCACACCCACACCCACACCCACACCCACACCCACACCCACACCCACACCCACACCCACACCCACACCCACACCCACACCCACACCCACACCCACACCCACACCCACACCCACACCCACACCCACACCCACACCCACACCACACCCACACACCCACACCCACACCCACACCCACACCCACACCCACACCCACACCCACACCCACACCCACACCCACACCCACACCCCCACCCACACCCACACCCTCACCCACACCCACACCCACACCCACACCCACACCCACACCCACACCCACACCCACACCCACACCCACACCCACACCCACACCCACACCCACACCCACACCCACACCCACACCCACACCCACACCCACACCCACACCCACACCCACACCCACACCCACACCCACACCCACACCCACACCCACACCCACACCCACACCCACACCCACAACCACCCCCACACCCACACCCACACCCACACCCACACCCACACCCACACCCACACCCACACCCACACCCACACCCACACCCACACCCACACCCACACCCACACCCACACCCACACCCACACCCACACCCACACCCACACCCACACCCACACCCACACCCACACCCACACCCACACCCACACCCACACCCACACCCACACCCACACCCACACCCACACACACACACACACACACACACACACACACACACACACACACACACACACCGACACACACACACACACCGACACACACACACACACAAACCTCCCCTCCCTGGATCCCCACGTTGTCAAACCGTATACTCCGCGGATCAATTTGGAGGGACTTGACCCTTGGCTCAGCTTCCGAAAGGAAGTGGTTGCTTGCCAGGCTGGCTTAGGTCTCAAGGTTCGGGCGTAATACATCTCCGATCCAGTGGATGGTTCAAAAGTCAAATTCGACTTGTTCATCACTAAAATGGTCCAAACCCAACAAGTGACCAGATTCCAGGAACTCAGGAAGCGGGCTTCTCTTTAACTCGAAACATCTAAAAGTTGGGTAGGAAACAAAAGTGGCCGAATCTGGAGTTCTACAAGCGCCCGCTCCAGCCGCCGATTCGTTTGTTTGCGCTTGCGCTCTTTCCTTCTCACCTCGTCGACTGTGCTTTTCGCGGACGCGAAAACGTGAACGAGATTGTGCGATCTTGCGCTGGCATCTGCAGGTTCGGACCCTTGGTGACTCAACTCTGCCAGTGCAGTTTTAAGAAAAAACAAGGCACCAACATCATTGGCCTATCCAGTTGAACTGACACAAGAAACATGCTTTGAACTTTATGTTTAAAGGACTGTCCAGATGATGCCTAAGTTGAATGGAAACTATAGTCCCCATAGATTTCCCCATTTGCTCGCTCGGTGGTAGCGAATTGCGAATTGCCAATCTGTTCATTTGGGACTGTGCTTTTTGGAGGGTGCCTTTTGTGTGGGTACTTGGAAGGGAATCAAAAAACAACCACACTTCTTGAGGCCCCTCTTTGAAGACTCACCGATTTGCTCGTCCCGCGCCAGCAAGCCGATTTCCGACCAGGCATGAAAGACTCTCATCCTGTGGAGGGGTCGCGAAACACTTCCTTGCTTGGGTGTTTCAGGGCCTTTTTGAGGTGATCAACTTCCTTTTGGTGTCACCTTAAAACGATCCGAAGAAGGGAACTCCCTGTGTTTCTAGTTCTACCTTCCCCATTTTGTCCAGGGATCCTTCTTTCTAGAAACCTCCGGAAACCCAAGGACACGGCCGGTTTTCGAAAAGAATGATGGTTGGAAAGAATGGGGAATCAACCCTTAGAATGTTGAAAAACCCCTGCTTGTTGGTGGGGCAATCGACTATGTTTTTTTTTTTCCCCAGATAGCTGAAAGCTATAGGGGTTCTAACTTCTAATAAAGAGGGGAAAGTGATTTGCGAGATTGAGGGCCGGGTGCTAGGGGGCATGCAGTTTGAGGTGCTGGTGGATGCTGCTTTGCGAGCTTGACGGCCGGGTGCTAGGGGGCATGCAGTTTGAGGTGCTGGTGGATGCTGCTTTGCGAGCTTGAGGGCCGGGTGCTAGGGGGCATGCAGTTTGAGGTGCTGGTGGATGCTGCTTTGCGAGCTTGATTTATTGGGGCACGCAGTTGGGGGTGCTGGTGGATGCTGCTTTGCGAGCTTGACGCCGGGTGCTCGGGGGCATGCAGTTTGAGGTGCTGGTGGATGCTGTTTTGCGAGCTTGACGGCCGGGTGCTGGGGGGCATGCAGTTGGGCTGCTGCTGGATGCTGTTTTGCGAGCTGGCCGGGTGCTCTGGGGCATGCAGTTTGGGGTGCTGGTGGAGGTGCTGCGTGGATAGCTTGACGGCTTGACGGGGCCTGGGGGGATGCAGTTTGGGCTGCTGGTGGATGCTGTTTTGCGAGCTGGCCGGGTGCTAGGGGGCATGCAGTTTGGGGTGCTGGTGGATGCTGTTTTGCGAGCTTGACGGCCGGTTCTAGGGGGCATGCAGTTTGGGGTGCTGGTGGATGCTGCTTTGCGAGCTTGACGGCCGGGTGCTAAGGGGCATGCAGTTTGAGGCGCGGGTGGATGCTGCTTTGGTTGTATCGGGTGCTAGGGGGCATGTTTGGGGTGCTGGTGGATACTGTTTTGCGAGCTTGACGGCCGGGTGCTAGGGGGCATGCAGTTTGGGGTGCTGGTGGGTGCTGCTTTGCGAGCTTGACGGCCGGGTGCTAGGGGGCATGCAGTGTGGGGTGCTGGTGGATGCTGCTTTGCGAGCTTGACGGCCGGGTGCTAGGGGGCATGGGGGGCATGCAGTTTGGGGTGCTGGTGGATGCTGCTTTGCGAGCTTGACGGCCGGGTGCTTGGGGGCATGCAGTTTGGGGTGCTGGTGGGTGCTGCTTTGCGAGCTTGACGGCCGGGTGCTAGGGGGCATGCAGTTTGGGGTGCTGGTAGGTGCTGCTTTGCGAGCTTGACGGCCGGGTGCTAGGGGGTATGCAGTTTGGGGTGCTGGTGGGTGCTGTTTTGCGAGCTTGACGGCCGGGTGCTACGCAGTTGGGGGTGCTGGTGGGTGCTGGCGGGTGCTACGGGGCATGGATGCTGCTTTTGCGCTTTGCGAGCTGGCCGGGTGCTATGCAGTTTCGGGTGCTGGTGGATGCAGCTTTGGGGTGCTGGTGGATGCTGTTTTGCGAGCTTGACGGCCGGGTTCTATGGGGGCATGCAGTTTGGGGTGCTGGTGGATGCTGTTTTGCGAGCTTGACGGCCGGTTCTAGGGGGCATGCAGTTTGGGGTGCTGGTGGATGCTGCTTTGCGAGCGGGCCGGGTGCTAAGGGGCATGCAGTTTGAGGCGCGGGTGGCTGCTTTGGTTGTACCGGGTGCTAGGGGGCATGTTTGGGGTGCTGGTGGATACTGTTTTGCGAGCTTGACGGCCGGTTCTAGGGGGCATGCAGTTTGGGGTGCTGGTGGATGCTGCTTTGCGAGCTTGACGGCCGGGTGCTAAGGGGCATGCAGTTTGAGGCGCGGGTGGATGCTGCTTTGGTTGTTCCGGGTGCTAGGGGGCATGTTTGGGGTGCTGGTGGATACTGTTCGCGTGTAACGGTTCGTGGCTGGTGTATCGTCATGATGTTCCCACGTTATGGTGTGTGGGTGTAGTGGCGCCGTGATGCTGTCAACGTCAGGATGATGCAGAATTTCATTAAGCTGTCGCAAGATGGTTCGTGGCTGTGGTATCATCATGATGCTGCCTGTACCATCAGCATGATGCTGTTCGCATCACCATGATGCTGTCCGCATCATCATGATGCTGTCCGCATCATCATGATGCTGTCGAACTCATCAGGACCTCGTTTTTGCTTTTTCCTGCCGGATTGCTCTCAAAATCATCATTATGCTGCTGATCTCATTAGGACGTTGTTTGCGCGTTTGTTCCGTGGCTGTGGTGTCATCATGGTCTACATCATCATGATAATGCTGCGTCATGGTTCGTATCCGTGGTGTGCTATCTGGGGTCTATGCTGGTGTAATTTTTTTTTAAACGGCGGTTGGCCTTGCCTATCCGCTTTCCACTGGCCCGCCCTGCTCTACTCAGACGGCCGGACGTTCTAAGCACCATGGCCGATGGCCAGGCGCAAATCCAAAGGTTGAGGATCCGCTTGCGTACGCCTTGCGTGGAACAAAAGGGCGCCAAGAAATGAGGCTCCTTCCAGGACCCTGGCGCCGTAGAAATTGAGGTTCTTGAGCCAACGGAGACCAAACATGCTTGGGGTTGTTTGATTT